AGGAAGCCAGGGAACCAAAAAACCTACATAAAGAGAAAAGTGAAAGCCTTGCATGAACTTAGATTTATTATAGAAGTGCATCAAAAGATGTGAGTAAGTCAAAAACTGAAAGCTAAAACAAACAAAGATGACCACAGTACCCACAATCCAAGCCCCATGTAATATGTTTAATTTCAGAAAGCAAACTCTATTGCTTCCTGTAATCTCCAGCACATAACAGACCAACAAAGACTGATTGATCCAATCAAATTTCCCAGTTTTAATCAAGAGGAAAACTTTTCTGAAAAGTCTGGTTAGGATTAGTGCTAAAACAGATATTTGTTATAAACTTGGATAGATTGAATAGATAGAAACACTAAAAAATGAAATAAAATAAAATTCTGTTTCACAAAATGGAAAAATTCAGTACACGCTCTCTCTGATAGGAACTGTTTTATACATGAATAATCTTTCTCCTGAATACAAAAAAAAAAAGATTTTTCTTTTTTCTTTGTCCTGTTCAGCATGATAACAAAAATTAAATCTGAGTACCGTATTGTGCCTAACACATTTGTATTTTGCCAAGAGAGGCTTTATGAATGAAAAACCCCTCTTGATTGTCCAATGTTTCTTCTTTTTGGATTAACTTTTCATATAAAACTTTACATGTATCAAATAATACCAAACCTGACAAGGGGAAAGCGAAAAGGGAGAGCTACCAGAAATTCAAAAAAGAATATAAGAAAAGTATTTTTGATGAATACAAAAAAGAATAATATATAAAAAGTTGTACTGTTTGTCTTACTGTAAATAATTGTCCTTTACCACCACGACTCATGTAACTGAGGGGTAGGGCTTAATAATCTTATGCTTCATCCTGCTCCTTTTTGAAACATGCTGCATGTTTATGAAGCATTCTGTGTAAACATTGTTTAATCATATCATGTTTCAAAATGAAATGAAAATGAAAATGAAATGAAAATTAAACTTCCAAGACATGCAGCCCTGGTTACACAAAGTTTGTGCACAGTTATGCATGCAAAGATAATGTTGTGGTGTTTTTGTTAATGTTGTTCTGTTTTCATTAATGTTGTAGTGTTTTTATTAATGTCGTTGTGTTTTCATTAATGTTGTAGTGTTTTTATTAATGTCGTTGTGTTTTCATTAATGTTGTAGTGTTTTTATTAATGTCGTTGTGTTTTCATTAATGTTGTTGTGCATTCGTTAATGTCGTAGTGTTTTGCACCTCAGGGCCACCGTACAAAGGGGCCACCTGCTGCCACCAGCCCCCAGCACTCAGAGGAAGTCAGAGAGGACCCCCAGCCCTCCAGCAGCCACCCAGGAAGATCACCATGAAGACAACTCCCGCCAGAACACTATAGAGGAAGACCCCCGACTGTGGGAAAGAGGCTCCCCGGGAACCATGGGCGACAGGGCACTGGCCCCATCAGGCCTCGTCCCCCAGACACAGGCCGAGAATCTGAACCCATCCATTATCAATACCGCTTATTCCCTCATGGGGTCGCGGGGGGAACTGGAGCCTATCCCAGTGGTCAACGGGCGAGAAGCAGGGTACACCTTGGACAGTCCGCCAGTCCATCGCAGGGCCACACAGAGACACACAAGGACCAACAACCACTCACACTCACATTCACTCCTAAGGGCAATTTCCCCAATCTCCAATCAGCCTAACATGCAGGTTTTTGGACTGTGGGAGGAAGCCGGAGAACCCGGAGAGAACCCACGCAGACACAGGGAGAACATGCAAACTCCACCCAGAAAGGTCCTGGTTCCCCCGGGATTCGAACCCAGAACCCTCTTGCTGGGAGGCGACAGTGCTAACCACCACACCACCGTGCCGCCCAGAATCTGAACCCAAGCTTCATTAACCCAAACCCATGCCAGAGAAGAGCATCGTCCCACCACCCCAACCACCAACCACCAGACACAAGGAACTAAAAGGGCATTTAACTATCCACCCCCACAGTGGCACGCCCGAGGCAACCCAGCCCCCCTACCTGTGCACATGCGGTGGGTGGGTTGTCTTGGGGCGTTATCTACCGGTGTGGAAGGTGACACCCAGGGCCCAGGCCCAGAATGTCAACCCATACCAGAGCAGATCCAGACAAGAGCCGAAGAAGTATGGGGGTGTCATTAGACACACCATCCTCCATGGTCATTTCTCACTTTATCTCTCCATCATCACCCTCATCATAACTACCACCACAACAGTACTTTGCCACAGCTATTGATTAAGGAACTTAAGCAATTTTGGTTATGATCAAGGAAAACATATCGATATCAGCTATTAATTAAAATTCTTAGATAATATGAGTATCATTATAGTATATGAGTGTAACAGAGTATGAATATTCTTCTTGTGATTTGTTTCTGTGAGGCGCATATCCTGGTTTTAAAAAATTCATCACACAAACTCTAATGAGATAGATTTCTCGTATCTTAAATTTCTACTTTTAAAAAATAGAAGTTCAAATTAACAATAATCTGGGAAACAAAATTGTCTCATATTTCTTCACATATATATTGGCTGAGGCATCCAACATTACTTGTGTCTTGGAAGGTGGGCACTCAGGATGAGCTCCCTCCAGGGATTCCCGCAGCGGCTGGCCTTCTCACAATTCGGCTTTGGGTCAGCTTCTCTGCCTCCGTTAGTGGTGGAGGTCCTGGACCACGATCAGTTTTAAGGACATCTGCCTGCTTTCTTTTCACAGAGAAAAAATGTGAGTTAATTTATATCGGTTGCATTATTTAACAGAATAAGGGGACCCAAAGGAAGACCCAGGACACACTGGAGGGACTATGGTTCTCAGCTGGCCCGGGAACGCCTTGGGATCCCACGGGGGGAGCTGGTAGAAGTGGTGGGGGAGAGGGAAGTCTGGGCTCCCCTGCTTAAGCTGCTGCCCCCGCTACCTGACACCAGATAAAAACTTGGTTGAAGAGTGGGGTAGAGCTGTCAACTGAGCTGTCAGGCCAGGTAGGCCCAAATGTGTTGTGAGGGTCTACGGGGAGTATCTGGCAGAGTCCCCTTGTCTGAGAAAATTTCAATTTCCATCTCCGATGGAACAACAACCATGTTCCAAGTGAAAGTGGGGGACATTGGGTTCGTGGGCTATGTTCCGCACTTACTATTGTAAAGGCGACTGACTAGAGTTGTGGCCGCAAAGTAATTTGTGCCTGTCGCAGCGGTAATTCCAGAACTCGGTGGTGGACACTAGCAGCTAGGGATGCCGTCAAGCTGAAGGAGTCTGACTGGACCTTTTTGGCTTGTGGGTCTCTGGAGGCAGCTGACAGGCATTGACAGACGACAGACCAAGTCGTGGGACCCCCAGGTTGGTTAGCTTGGGGATCAGAATGTCCGGCTTTTAAGCTGGGCTGAAGTCAATGAAGAGCAACCTGATGTCGCTCCCCTGTTGTTCCAGGTGACTCAGCGCTGAGTGGAGAGCGATGGCTATGGCTTCTTCGGTGGATCTGTTAGTCCGGTATGCAAACTGGTGCGGATCCAGGGTGAGGGGGAGACAGACTTTTATGTGTCTCAAAACCAGTTTCTCTAGGCATTTGGTGATGACTGGAGTGAGTGCTTTCGGGCTGAAGTCATTGAGGCTGGTCGTGGGTGACTTTTTAGGGATCGGGATGATTATAGCAGGGTGGGATGACAGCTTGTTCCAGAGATAGGTTGAAGATGTCTGTGAATACCTGTGATAGCTGCCAAGCACATGCCTTGAGCACCTTCCCAGGTACTCCATCTGGATCTGCAGCCTTACTGAGGTTCACTGCACAGAGCAACCGCCACCGTGCCTCAAGAGTAAGTGGGTGGGAGGGGTTCTGGAGGGCTGGTGGGGGTTGCAGTGATGAGGCTGGATGCTGTGTTTGAGACTCAAAGCAGGCAAAGAAGCTGTTCAGCTCCTCTCCCAGTCCCGCATCCAAGTTCCCGGGTGTCACAGCACAGCCTCTGTAATTGGTGATGGTCTGTATGCCCTTCCACACTTGCCTGGGGTTGTTGAGATGTTCCTCTATCCTCCTCTTAGAATCAACTTTAGCAGTCCTAATGCGTCTCTTCAGGTTGGCACTAGTGGCGCTGTACGATGTTCTGTCACCTGACCTGAAGGCTGAGTCAGAGGCTGGTGAAAAAAATGCCTTAATGCATTAGGAGCATGCGGACCTGGCACGTCATCCAGGGTTTCTGGTTTGTGAACACCCAGATGCACTTTTCCACAGTGACGTTCTCAATACAGTACTTGATGAAGGACAGTACTGTACTGCATCTGTGAATATTTCCAGGACTTCATGATAGAAGGCCTCCCACTGTGTGTTATCGAAGCAGTCCTGTAGTCGGGGGAGGGCGTCTTCGGGCCAGGTGGTGATGGTCTTCTTTGTGGGCTTTGTTTGTCGACTGAGGTGGGTTTATGCTGGGGTGAGGAGCAGGGAGAGGTGGTCTGACCGGCCCAGGTGGGGAAGGGGTACAGCTCTGTACGCATGCTTGATGTTGGAATACACATGATCCAGAGTGTTTTCCCCTCTCTTACATACTGGTGGAATTTTGGTAATACAGATTTGCCTTATTGAAGTCCCCTGCAATAATGTGGACTCCACTGGGTTGGGCACGCTGGTGAGTATTGATGGCATTTAGCAGTAGAGAGAGAGCCATGCTTACATTAGCGCCTGGTGGTATGTAGACTGCAGTGATGACAACAGCAGCTAGCTCTCTAGGCAGAAAGAAGGGTCTGCATCTCATCGACATAAACTCTACGCCAGGAGAACAGTGTCTGTCCAAGATAGTGCTGTTGTTACACCAGCCTTCATGCCCACCTCCTCTGTTCTTCCCGGAGTCAATGTTCCTGTCCCATCTGTGTAGCGTGCGGCCTGCTAGCTGCACCGTGGGATCAGGGATTTGTGTGCGTAGCCATGTCTCTGTGATGATAAGCACACAGCAATCACTAACATAACGATTACCAGCCAACTGTATTTCCAAGTCGTCCGTTTTGTGTACCATGGATCTGGTGTTAGTAAGGTAGAGGCTCGGCAGCGGAGGTTTGAGTGGCTGTTTCCTTAGCTTGAGCAGTAGCCCAGCCCTGCAGCCTCGTTTTTGTTTCCTCTCGCGTTAACCCTATAACAATCCACGGAGATCCCGCAGGTCGCGCTATCTCGTCCGGAATGTTGTGATTGCGGTGAAAGTCGCCGGATATGTTCACCTTCAGTTGGAAACCGATGTCAAGTAAGTCCAGACGACTGTAGTGTTTCGTAATGTGGGTAGACGAACGTACAACATACAGTAGCACAAATAGGGAGAGCTGTGAGCCGCCGCGTCTGTGCGCGCCGCCATCTTGCAACGTCATCGTGAGGACAAATTCAGAATTGCAGACGAGGATAATTGGAGACTCTGAACAATGGGTAATGTAAGATTCTTTTTTTTTTGTGGAAAGTATGAATTTCAGATACACTGCTGACATCTATGCACTTCAGGAATCTGGGTTACTTCTCTCAGCAAAGTGTTGAATTATGAACAATGATATTTTATGTGCATAGACTGCTTTAAATTATTCATTTTAACTAGCTTTAGCAGAACTTGTTTTGATTTATGCAGTAAATCAAATTAAACCTTCTTGCAAAAGACATTCTAAATGTCCAAGTTATATTCCTTTACCCAATACATGAAAACATGAGCATTTACAAAAAAGTATGCTGTTCAAGTGTGTTGCAGAAATCCTGTAAGACCATCACTCTGAAATTATATGAAGATATGACAGTAGATCTTTACGCACGGTGTTTGATGATTGCAGTACAGAGAAGCTGAAAGGATGCTGTCGCCAGGTTAATGTTTTTTTCAAAACCTTGCTCTTTCAAGTATTTCCAGATGCAGCACACGGAAACAGTGAAAGAGGAGAGAGAATAAAGTAAGGGGAGAGAGACTTGGAGCTTTCATCCACCATCTTGCACTGGTTTAAAATCATAATCCTGGTCGTGCTGTATCAGCAGGGTAGAGGAGATAAGAGAGCGAGGGAATGCCTTTGCTGGGAAACCCTGGATACTGCAGATACAACATACAGAAAAGTATACATGTAAGGTGGGAAAAAAGATCAAACAATTATCAAAGACTACTCCAATAGTCTCTTTTTTAAAAAATATTCTTGTGATTTTTTTCAACTTTTCCACTCTGTTTTTTAACTGTGCTCCCGTTCTATTTTATTGTAGTAACTGAAACTGTTTTAAAGTTATAATGCTGCATAGCCATGATCATGGCAAACAGATTTCCATGACCAAGTGTTCCCTTGCCCCATTCTGGTCCATATTGCTGGCAGTAACTCAGACTTGTTTCCGGTGAGTGTTGGTCTCTGCCAATGTGATAGGGTGAACCAGGAAGTAGGAAGTTGGGGGCGTAGCTTAGTTTTTAAAAGCCAGAGGGAGGCAAATCTGGGCCTTTCACTCAGTTACTCTACATGGGTGGTGCAGAGGGAAACTGGAAACCCATTACACTCGAGCTGTTAAGCCAAATCTGGGTTTGGTGTCTGTATAGACTTTTTGGACTGTGTCAAATTGGATTGACTTGGGGCACCTTTGCATGTTTCGTTTGGTTTTTATTTGGGCTTTGTTTGGCCATGCCTTATTGATTTTATTTGTGTTTCCCAAGCTGTATATTTATTATCGCTATTTGCACAACTCCAATTCAGCCAATTGTATGCCTGTTCTGTTTTAAATACAGCACATCAATGAACTGTTTTGCCACATATTATATTTTTTAAATACGATTTTAGACCTAATAATGATGCTTTTATATTTCTGCAAGTAAACATACAAATATTTTACTACTAAGTAAGTCTCTTTCCACTTTATTTTTACATTTGGTCACAATATAGGGTGAACCAGGAAGTAGGAAGTTGGAGGGCGGAGCTTAGTTTTTAAAAGCCATTACACTCGAGCTGTTAAACCAAATCTGGCTTTGGTGCACAGGCAAGAAGGTCCAAGATATAGTACCAGTCATCAGTCCTGGGAAAGTGTGTGTCCCACCTTACTTGATGAAAGGCCCTGATTTGCCTCCCTCTGGCTTTTAAAATCTAAGCTCCGCCCCCCCCCAACTTCCTACTTCCTGGTTCACCCTATCACACCAAGGTTGCCCTTTGTTGACAATTCAAAACTTTTATGGACCGAATTTCTATTTCTATATCCATTGCAGAGTCTGACTGCTCTTATTGTCCGGAAGAATAGAATCATCATAAATGGCCCCGCTTATGTTGCTAGCTGAGAAACGTATTGTGTGTTAAATGTTAGGAACATCCTGCTGTCATTTTTTGTGACAACACTTTTATCTATATGGCAGTGTGCGTTGTAGTTACTTACTGGCATTTTGACTGGGATGTGCTAATTTGTGTTATTTCAAGTAAGTGCACAGCCAAGCCTCGGAGTTTGAACAAAGCTCAGCCTTGTCAATTTATATAAGCATACTTTATTTTAACAATTTAGAAATAGAATGAACAATTTCAGCATTTCCAGCAAGAATGAGCTCCGGGATTCTGTTAATTATTTGTATTTTGTAAAGATGCTTCATCTCTCTGGTCTATCTCGGTTATGGTACTGTAGATTCTTTAAACACCTGCTGATGTTGATTTTTTATATCATTCAAGCTTATGTCTATATTCCAATATATGAATCTATAGTTAATTCATCAAAGTTCTCAAAACCAGTTTTTGTTTAAGCCTATAAATGTAAGTCTAACCTTTAGTTAATGATAATACTGATAATTATATGATAATGATAATATATTTGCATATATGTGTCTGCATGCCTACTTATTTGTTAACTAACATCTATTCATATGCACTAAAACTGATTTTGAAGTATTTTCAAAATTTTGTTCATTCATTTGAAACAGGCCAAACAATGAAATCATGTGGGGACTTAACTATTTCATGTCATTTAAACAGAGTGCAATGCTAATATAAAAGACTCTGCTTTTACTGTAAAACTGTGTGAGTTTGTTTCCATACATCCTCCATGCTGGATTCCAGTAGAGAGCTGATAAATGGAAGGAAAAAATACCAGTCAATATTCAAGGAAGAGTTTTAGAAAAAAAGTTCAAGACTGCCATCGAGTGGTGAAACAGAAAATTACCTTGGAACTATAGACATAAGCTTTCACAAACATCACTTAACCTATATTTTATATATATATATACACACACACATGCAAATATAACACTCTTACGGCAGACATGCTTTTATCTCTTCCCTGCCCTGCCCAATCTCAAGCTACACCATGAAGTCAATTATGGACGGTCATTGATGAGCATAGAAGTCTAATAACAAAATGTCACTTGTTCAGACTGGGAGGGGCATTCATCCCAACCACACCCCTCCAGTCCTGTCATTGCACACATTAGCATTGAAGAACAAGGACTTTAAAAAGGGTGCGTGATCTGAACTGCCGTGAGGTGCATAAGCAAAAGAAAGAAACATTGAGTACCCGTGACTAGTGATGGCGAGATGAAGTTTCATAAAGCTTTGAAGCATTCCATCCAATTGGTTCACTCGTGTGTTGGAGCTTCATGGTGCTTCATTTGCTCTGTTCTGCCCCCTGGTGGACAATAAATGTAAACGTACAGCGTGGTTATAACGAGACTCTGGCTTTGGTGTCTGAAGCATTGAGTGAATTAATCAATGATGTTTGTGATGCTGCCATCCAGGTTGACCCCGCCCCTCCCCATTGGCTCCAGTCCCCCCCCTTGCCCCCCCCCCCCACGCCATTAGGGGATTGGCGGTTAGCATAATGGACGGATGGATGTCTGTGATGCTTATACATGAATTATAAACTTTTAGATGATGTCTGTCTTTATGATACAATTACAGGGAAGCTTGAATAGATCGCTCACAAACTCGTAATTAAGTCCCAAGTTCACAAAGTGTGAGGGGGGGATTCATTGCGTTTTGCTGGCCCTTATTTTTCGAATAGACCGCCAAACCGCGAACCACTTCCTGAATCAGTCACGTGGTACGGCCGGTTCGCGAGGCTTCAAACGTCACCGCATACGTCATCGACACAAGCTTCGATACGCGCTTCACTGAAATCATCCTGGATTTCTCGACACGCGCTTCGAAGCCTCGATACGAAGGGACACATCACTAATGTTTACCTACGCTCAGCGCCACTCACCGAGGGTAACTCCAGAGTAAAAGAGCTTCCAACCCCTCCCAAGGAGACTGGTAACAGGAACCCAGGAACCAGACCTGGGTTTTTCATACTGAGTCAGACTATTGCTAGCTGGAACCTCTAGCTCGAAACAAACTCGCCAACTCAGGCCCCTTCCCCACTGGAGGTGACATTCCACGTTCCTGAGATCCAGTCTCTTTATCCGAGGATCAGACTACCAAGGTGCCACCCTTTCCACATTGCATGGAACCTAGGGATGCAAACGGTTAATCGACTTTAGATTAATTGTCGATCAAGAGGTTGCT